ACAATTGCTCCAAGCAAACCGCATGGGACAGTGCCGGTTGCATCTACCGAGCTGACAAGAGCAACCTCGTAACTCGAGGCACTCGAGGCTTCGGCGCGATCTGGCAGATCAGCCCGAGAACGCGAGCGTTACGCGACTTGACCGAGCGTCACTTGGGGTTGGAGGAGAAACTGATCTGAAAGGTGTGAACAGGTTTCAAGGCTTTCTAAGGCGAGCAGGGCTCGGCGGGCTCGGATCGCCTTCCTCAAGCTGATGGACTGACAGCCTTTTACCCTAGGAGCTTTTTGCGGACAAAGATACGAAGCCTCTTCTGCCGGTGCCGGCCACCGGCGAGAGAACGGCTCAGCCCAGTGGCCCAACCCTCGAGCCCCGAAAGCCTATGTGGATCGCTTCTGAGACTTTCTGAAGCCCGTGCATAGGCTCGGCACAGGCATCCCACAGCCAACAGCCGCTGTCAACCACGTCGGACCACACCAAGCTAAGACCTTATGACAAATGCGGTGCCAGAAAACCAAGCCTCCGAAGGGAGAGGAATGCAAGCTCGGCCTTGGACTAGGCCAGGCTATCATCATCCTGATCCCAACTCAGACCAGCTTTGAAACTCTGGACGTCGCTACTTCCGAGTGCCCAGCTCTGGAGCGAAATGCCTTTGCCCAGGCCCCGGTGCCGATTTTCAGGATGGAAACGCCGCGAGGATCACAGACCGAAGCAGGGTCAGGCGTCTCTGGCAAGGTCCAGAGCTGTAGCTGGCGGAGGGAGCTGGGCTTTCATGGCCTTGGCTCGCCCTTAACCGGGCAGTGAAAAGACGCCTCTCTCTCTCGGCTTGATCTGGCAGCGAGGCCACAAGATTTCGGGCTTCGACCCGAGCGATCCATGTCGGAAGACGAATCCGAGCAGAACTCCAGGCAAACTCCCAGAAGCCAAGCTCGAAGGGGCCGAATTGCGGTAGCCCATCGAGGCCCCCTTCATCCAGTCACTAGGCATACAAGCCTCCGCGCGGTCTCCATGTGCACACCTTAGCTCTCAGCCTCAAGCAGCTGTTCGCATGAGAAGGCAGCGTTTCTGCGAGGCTCTCGTGCGCCTGGACCTACACTCCGACCTTGCACTTGGCTTCCAGGTGCAAGATGCCGAGTTGCCCCGACAGGGAGGCGGCTTCTGGGTTGAAATCGCAGAGCTCAGCGCTCGGCAAAGCTTACAGCGGTAGCAAAGCCAATGTCCGGCTGCAGACACAGCGCTGTGCAGGTCCAGGAATGCAACAGGCACAGGCTCCACAGGCTCCACACCGGATCCATAGAGCCTTCGGTGCCCTGGGCTGAGGAGAACCTTTGTTCTTAAGCCTCGGGAAACCTGAAAACACCGCATGCAAATGACAACTGAGATTGAGCAAGCAGATGCAGCCATCCTTTATGAGCCGATCACGGAACTCTGGATTCCACCGAACATGTTTCAGCAAGGCTTTTGCAACTGACTTCCGTTTGCAGGTCAGTGGCTGAGCGACGGTGTCGGCAGTGCCTTCCCACGCTGTGGAACAGCAACGAAGAAAATTTCACGGAGGCTGCAAATAGCCATCCCAGTATTCCAAGAATTCTTTGCTCGCCTTGCATGGCGGTGAAGGTTGTATGCGGGAGAGGTTTGTCCAGCCGCGCTACCAAGGAGAATCTGCAGGAAGCAGGCTTTCTGCGAACACACAGCGCGTCATTTGGCTACGGCGAGGGTAGGGAGAGGCCACAAGGCCTCCCCTACGCCACACCGAACTCAACGCTGCCAGGCAGATCTGCACTGCCAGGATGGGAACTTCGGGCTCCGGTTTACAGCGGTTCCCAGTCTACAGTTCTCGTTCTCCCCGACAGAGGCTGGACCAGGCTGAGGCCTTCCGGGAAGATGGCGGTGCCGTGGCCCCCGCCGTAGCCTTCCGAAACCAGCCACACGGAAAGCTTTGGGAAAGCTGCTGGCGTCTTAGGGCGAGCTCCGAAGCGGGTGATGCACTTCGAAGATCTTGCAAGAACCTCGCCGAGAGCGCAAAGGCAAAGACCTGCACCCTGCCTCGCCTGCGAATGCGATCTGCGGTCAGTCGCCCGGCCCTGAGCGGCCCTGCAGCTGCGCAGCGCTCTTCTCCCCTTCTTGACTAGGGACGTCGGGCAGCCGTCAGCGTCACACGAACTTCGTGCAGCGATTCGTGGCACATCGGAAAGGCGGCGTGAAGCTTTGCAACGGACACAACTGAAGTGCCTGCTGCATTGTCACAAGCTTGCAGCTGCTGCAATAAATCTTTTTGAGCTGTCCCCAAGTAGCTCGAAAATACTCTGCAACAGCCATGGTGCGAACCCATTCATGGCCAACGCTCCAGCTTCAAATCCTCACAGAACGTGCCCTTTCAACCTCCCTTTGTGCCCTTTGCTCCGAGCTTGATCCTGGTCCCGGGCAGGTACTTCGTCGGGGATCCGGGATTCTTGCTTTCGGGATTCGACTTTTCAGCCGAAGCAAAACCTCCCTTTGGAGCCACTCGTATGTCAATGAGACAGCTCCTGCAAGACACGTGTTCTCACATCCGGGACCCTGGATTCCAGACAGCGGAAGCCGAGATGGAACTCCGAAGAGGGCTGCTGAAGGCTAAGAGGCTAAACTATGATGTGCTGCACTGCACTGGACATGCAGGCGTCGGGTAGATTCGGACGCCGGCAAAGCACCGGACGCTCGGGCCATGGGCACCGCTACATTTCTGCACCAGCGCTGCTGCAACTTGCCTCGAAACCCAAGGGCCGCAAGGGGCAAGTGGAATGTCCAGAAGTTCAGGTGTGAGACAAGACCAGAAGAAAGCAAGCAACAGACCGCACATGAAAGGCTTCCCAAGTCCTCCCGAACCCTTACACAGTTCCGGAGGTCACGCTGCTTCAGGATAGGCAGCATGCTTCGTTCCTTCACGCGATCAAAACACAGAAGCTAGCGAGACGGGACGCTCTGCACACTCTGCGCCAGGATGCAGGAGAACCTCTTGAAGCCCGGGGGCCCGGGGGCGCTTTAGCGGTCCCACGAGGCTTCAAGAAGTACTCAGAATTTGGTGTCGTGCATCTCCGTTTCCCATGGAGACGAAAGGAGTTCATCCACACCTACGGGCAGAGCCGTCTTTGCCGAGAATCGGGTTCGGGTTTGAGGTGCCAAGTACGCCGAGAAAAACCTAGGGACTATCGCCTTGTCAGGTACGTTGATCACAGGCAGTGCGTGGATGTGGGAACTTTAAGAAAGCCTTCGTCCGTGTCTCGGTCTTGTGCGTTTTACATTCGTCGGGGCATTGAGGGAGGGATCAGCGTCGGATTTGAAGATCGAACCTGGCCCTCAGAAAGTTGAACGATTTCGACGACTTACGGTGGCACTGCGGGAATTGCCTTTAAGTCTTTTGCCTTTGATTTGAAGAATCTTAGTCTTGCCTCTAAGCCTCTGTGTCACGGGGCCAAGTGCCTTGCGCGAGCTGCTAGCAAAATGAGGCAAATCATGCTTTGGCTTTAGAGTCTTTAGAACTTAAGAGATCCGCAAGCGCAAGCTAAGAAGGGTGAAGCTTCGCCTGCGAGACTCCCAGAGGCAAGGATCCTTGACCGCATCGCTTCACGCACATTTTGGCTGCATATTTTGGCTGCTTTTTTTTGCTGCGGATAGGCGGACAGGGCTGGGGCTCCAGGTGCTACGCCCCAAATGCCTCCTCTGAAGCCCCTTGACCTGTCGCAGGTGCGGGCGGTGCGGCATGCCTGGCTTTGCAAGAAAAGCCGCCAGACTTCGCTCACAGTCCGGCGTCCTGGCGAGCAGAGCCAGACATGTTGCTGACTGTGGAAGAGGTTTCCTGCAAGTCTTGCGAAAGGTCAGTTGTCGCTTTGGCAATGTGCCGCAGGGGGTCCAGAGCTCACGGGAGCAGGGCTCTGAAGACAGAGCGAGCCACGGCGGCGTCCGCAGCCTCACTACACTCACTCAGCGAATGAGCTGGGCCACGGCCGATGTCATTGGGACTCCGCGTGGACAGCAGCGCCTCCAGCTCCTGAAATCTGCTTGCCAGGTCCTGAGGGCCAGCAGGGCCAGAAGCGAGCAAGCGCCACTTCCAAGACACTTGGCTACCAACACAATCCCGAACCCATCCTTGCTACAGCTAACAAGACAAAGAAGGGCTTGGTCCCTCGATCCCCACATCACGGGGTGTCGTCATGGTGCCTGGTCACTCCAGGCACCGTGGTGCCCAGAAGCATTCCCGTCTTCAAGCACACAACGTTCGCCTTCGGAAGAGTTGGAAGCGAGACCCTTCCTGCTGATGCTTCACGGCAGCTCTGCAGCGTGGTCCCCCCTCGCGAGCAGTTTCGCGAGAAGCTGATGCCTTGAGCCGTCTGCGCTAAAGGGGAATGGAGGCTGGAACCGAAACTATCCTATGAAGACCTCACAGCCGGGGAGAAGCCCAGACGATGGGCTGGTTGTTTTTTGGGCGGGCCGGGCCCTGCTGAAACCCTCACAGAATCCCAAAGAGGAGGAAGCGACAGCAATGCAAACTGTTCCCGAAAACTTCCACTCCTCCCGCGACGACAGCTGGCCAGCTAACATGGGCCTGGGCCTCAAACACCAAGCGGGCCCTTGTTAGCCCCTCAAATACCAGCTGGCTGGCGACGGGGTACACAAAGCAGCCTATCCATCGCACCTCTGGGCAGTGGCTATTGCTGACTGCCTCGCTGCAGGTTCCGTGCTAGCTGGCTTCGGCCCAGCTATGCACAGTCCTGGAGGGTCAAGGCTCCAGGCTCCAGGCCTTGGCTGTACTGAAGAAGCCGCGCAAGCCCCGTAGGCCGCTTAAGCTGCTTGGTGGCCCCTTCCCGGGACCCGAAGAAAGCTAGCAGCCACGGGGCCACGAGCTCGGGTCTCTGCTATGGACTCGGACTCAGGCGGGAAGGCCCATCCACGGGCCTAGCTTGGGCCTTGGGCACTTTGAACGCTCTTCGCTCGAGTCCGCTGGCAAGACAGCTCGTGATCCGTGGTTAAACATCCTCTTGCCAAGTCTGGTCGCACCAAAACACGGTGGAAAGAGACATTTGAAACACTAATTGCCGAACGGGACGGATGCGACAGAGGGACATAGGCCGCGACTGGCTACAGGAGACTGACGTCGCCGTCACTGCGGGGGCCTCCAGGGCGCGGCGAGCATTGCCATGAGAGGCAGGCACGACAGCCAAGGCCAAGATATCCCCGCGGAGACTGAGCTCACCCACACGCAACTTCTGGTCTGTCTTGCAGACTTGGACGGTGGGGAGACGGCCGGCGGTGGCAAGCGTTGCATAAGCACCACTGCCAGACCTGAGAAACATGTCTCTGTGCGAAACATGTGGCATCTTGCTAAGCGCCGCGACAGCCTTTAGCCGCGGCTTGATCCGAATGCTTCACGAGCTTCACATGACAGACAAACCGAGCCTCGACAACGATACTGCGTAAGGTGCGCACAGCTAGCCTTCTGCGAAAGCTTGCTCACGGTATAAATGCTGTTTCCAGGTGACCGATTGCAGGCGCCACAAGGTCAGCGGCTTCTTTGGGTGCCGAAGTTGGCAATGAGAGCAGACTCACTCACCGGAGCTGATCTCTCCAGTTTGCCGTCAGCTGAGACTGGGCACTGCAAGGCATCTGGATCCGAGATCGGCTGCTGGCCCTGCTGGCCAGAACCTCGGCACTGCGGCACCTCCGAGCCGCTGAGCCGGTGGTTTCTGCAAATCCCTCTGCTTCGCCTTCGCATGCAGGTGCAGCAGGTGCAGGTGCACCAGTGGCAGGGCAGTTAAGACAACAATGCCGTGAACTTCACTTTGTGGCACCGGCACGTTTCGGTGACTCGCGAAGCGGCGAAGCTGTGTGTATGCGAGCGGCCCTCAAGGCTTTAAGGTGTGACCCCCAAAAAAGGGACCCCGCTTTCCGGCGATCTCAAGGCTCCAGGAGAGAGACCGCAGAGATCTTTAACGCCTAGGGGCACTGGCTTTAGAAACTATGTGACTATGTGGATTCTGGCTTTCCAGGGTCTAGCGAGTCTAGCGAGTCCGTCTGGAGGCGACCCTTGAAGACCTCCGCGGACTGGCAGCGTCTCGGGTCCAACTGGTCAAACTTAGCGTAAGCCGAGTTTTCTGGATTTAAAGGCACGGCCACATGAAGTTGTGTGGGCAGAATATGATTCGACTCGCACAGTCACTGCCCTGAAACGTGTCGTGGTTTGCCCGGAGGCTAGAGAATGAAGGAGTCCTTCCTCCATAACGGGGTGTACGGCTATGGCTCGCCCAGGCTGCTCCTCTGAAACACTAGGTCACCAACGGCTGCCTACTTTGCTGTTTATTGAGAAGTGCAGGACTTCCGCACATCCAGGCAATTGGTAGTCGCTTCACTGACGCCTCGCGCATCGCATTGAGTGCATTTGGACAAGTGCTCTGGACCCACTCTCCGACACGGAGGCTTAGAGGCGCTGGGGAAGCAATCCTACAAGCTCTGCTTGAGCGCAGAATTCAAAACAAATCACCCTCCGCGCTCAGTGGCAGGACATCGCAGTGTTTCCTCGACCTCCGCTTCCAACTACCAGACACCCTGTTCTCCCGCAAACTTCACCTGAACTCCCGGCCCTCAACATCGCCATACCTCTCATGCGGCGTGGTGTTTCTTCCGATCGGGCGAGAGGCTGAGGCTGCTCCAAGTCCTCCGACACCTCAGCTCCTCAATTCCTCCGCAGCCCACTGCTTCGAAGTTCAGCTCCTCGGAATGCTCTCCCATCCTTCAGGTGAGTCCTTTCTCTTGTCCGCACTGGCTGATATGAACCGAGGGAAATCCGAATGTCCAGAACGGAGAGTAGCTGCAACCTGAATGCCATGCAAAGTGCACCTAGGCTTCCTCCTCACCTACCTGATCTATGAGGTTTAACAAGATTCATCATCGCACGGACTGCAGGCCTGTTCCGGACACGAGCGGACACAGCTGCAGCTACCATCGTCCGTGCTGCTGCCCCTTTTTAGCCCAACTAGAAAACACTGCTCACTTCGATTGCCAGGGCCACGCCTTCCTGTGCCCGAACTGCCTTCTATGTATCTTCACTTGGGGAGTTTCCGCGAACAAACGCGTCCGCTCTCAACCCCGATTCAGAAAAGGGCCTTCGGTGCCGTGGGACGCAGCACAAAGGCAGGCAACCGAAAGCACGACTGGCGAAAAAGGAAGATGGGACATTGATTTTTCTTCTTTCTGTGCACCTGGCAGCCTGGTGTCTGGGTCGTCGCAGATGTATGTAACGGATCACTTTATCAACTGAAACTGTCTGTCTGCAAAACAACCGTCCTCGGACCCAACAAGATCGCAGACCAACGCGGTGTAGTCAAGCTTAACGGCTGGCACTCCATGAAGCAGGCAGCCCCTCTCAGCCCTGCAAGCCTTCCCAGAGCCAAGGCGGAACTTCTTGCACAAAATGCTCCTCGCAAATTAGGCACCAGACTCTCATTCGGGAAAGCTGCGTTGAACACACGTGCGCTCTGGCCTCCGCAGGGCCGAAGCCAGTGAGCTATACTTTTGCCTCGGCCCAACCTGTGTCCTGGTTCAAGATGCGGGTAAGGCTACGGATGGGAGCTCCTCCGGCAACTTACATCCCAACCGAAGCTGCGCTGTGTGGGCTGCGCTGTCGCCGTGTACTGGCACCTCCTTTCCAGCACACCGCTTTCAGGTCAAAGCGCTCTGTTTTTTCTCTGCTTTCCATCACAAGCAGAGGCAACCCGACACAACTTAGCTGACTAACTGCATCCGGTGCTCAAGTCAACTTATCCTTTCAAGCATTGTGCTGAGGAAGCCGCAGGTCGGAAAATCTCGGCCGATCTGCATAACTTCCCCCATCCCCAAGACCTGCACTTGTCCCGCTCGGCTTTCAATAGCCCGGACAGCCTTCTAAGCTGTAAGGATGCCCTGGATGCCGTGAAGCTGAAGCCTGTCAAAGGTGTGAGTGCACCTTTGGCCACACTTCGTGCAACGCCGCACGCGGACCTGATGACCTTGTAGGCGACGCCTATCCAAACCTCTGTTCACATACAATGCCTGAACACGTCGTTTTCTAACCTCTACTGGGAGTCTTACTCTGACAAAAGCAACCTTTTTTGATGTGGTTTTTCGGCGGAACACTGCGCAAGGTGCTCCTTGCATCCTCTTGGCCTCCGCACCCCGCTCCTTGTAAGCCAGCCGAGCGTCTTCACCCCAGGCCCTGGCCATGTTTAGCCAATTGAAAAGCTGCAGAGCAAAAGGTTTGACGGCGTCAGGAGCCGTGTTCCACCGCTCAAGCTTCTAAGCGGATCGCTTCAGCATCACCTCGCTACGTGAAACCTCGGTCACGGCCCCGGCCCTGTGAACACCCACAGCGGGTCAGCCTTGCAACACTTGCGTCAACTGCAGGCAGCAGGAGAGAGGTCCAGGTGAACTAAGAGGCACGCGTAGCGAAGTTCACTCCGTCCGGCAGGCCAATTTTTTTTTCGGGGGGGCGTGAACGGGTCGACGCCTGCCTTCGACTGCAAGAGCTTGCCAGCCTGCTGGGCTCTTTATGCCAGAATCGCAGCATCAAGAATCTCACACTTGGCTATGGCCATTATACCTGCGGCATGGCACGCCTGCAGGAAAAGCAATGACTGCACGCTGACAGAAGGCTTGGCCTTGCTGGCGGCAAGGAGCACTATTCCGGGAGCATTCAGCTTGGAGCGAGAGCTTAAAGAGGAGTTCAAAATGATACACGTGCACCCCAGCCAGCCGAACTCAACACATGCAAATGGTCATCTTCAGGGCCTTGAACAAGCAAGGTCTTTCTCTAAGCGGTCAACCCGAACACCGACGCATCGCTAAGCAAGACTCATCTTGGCTTGCACTGATTAAGTAACACCAGCCCACGCCAATCTCTAGCTCCGGCAAGCCCGATTCAGCCGCAAGGATGACACGCTGACAGCCACGTACATAGAAAACTGATTTTTTGTGAAAAATGGGTGCAGGTCACGCCTTACAAACGTCTCTAAACCTCGCGATGTGAGAACGGCGAGATCGGCAGACCCTACAAGGAAAGCAAGGAAGGGGATCGTTTCTTGGCCTGCCCGGCATCATCCACGCGGCGCCAAGCCTTGGGCAGCTACACAGCCGTGACTGCTTGGTCCTGATTCTGATCCTGCAAGACGGCAGCAGGAGCTGGAGCGGGTGCAGCTTTCTCTGCACGCCTCATGAAGCTTCTGACAACATTCCGGGGACACGTCGGGCCTCCTGCAATAAGAAAATTACAGGCAGGACACTTCTTTCGCAGAAAGCGGCCTAGAGCTATCGTTGCAACGGTATTTTCGTGTTTGCAGGAGGAAGTGACTGGCTCGTCAAGGGTCTCAACCGATGGACCGACCGACGTGATGTTTGAATGACACAGACAAGACACTGGTTACGCCCGAAGGCTGGATGCCCGGAAAGGTCCGGCAGCTATGCCAGCCATGGCGACGCCACTGGTGGAACAAGATGCCACAGGCCCTGAGCACCCTGGCAGCGTTTCGTCGGAGGCCCTAGAGTCCTAGAAGATGAACCTCAACCACGGAAAGCTTCCATATCCCCTTGTTTACTCGACGAGTCTCCCATAGCCCCTGATCGTTTACCTCAGTGCAGCTTGGTTGAAGCTGAGTCAGAGTCCCCTTAATGGCCGGCGGACTCCAAGAACCTCACCAGACTGTTCTCGCCGCGTCAACCTCGAAACTGCCCTAGCCTTGCCATGGCGCCCTGGCCACGCTTCCGGCCAGGCTTCGAACAGCTGATTGCATCCATAATGCTGTCAGGATCACATCTGGAAACCCTTAAGCTCGGTAAATCAGGTCTTTGAAGCCAGCATCCCACCAAAGCCACTTGCGCAATCCGCCCCCCGGTCCGTGCTGCGAGAGGCTTACCTGGCTGTGGCTGCCACTAGGTCTTAGAATGTCGGCTGGGGCGGAACACAGGCAATAACTGCCAACACATTGCTGCGGTTAGGCTTTCAGTGATTTGGCCCCAATGACTTTCGGCCAGGATATTCTACAGTACTATCTACCCTCAAGCAATTTACCCCATCTCAATGCTAAGCTCTACCTGCCAGGAGGGAATGTCGAATGAAACCTTGGAGTGCTCTTTGCCCCTTGCACCATTCTAAAACGCACCGGCAATCGACTGTTCTCTTGTTTGCACATGTTTTGTGGGATCGTTATTGGGCTTCCCCCGCGCTTTGAACACTTCAGTCTAGCCTGAACAGGGTCTTGGTTCGTACAAACGAGTGCAGCGAAGAGGCAAAGTCCCCAAGCACAACAAAGCTGCATCGTCTCCAGCAATCACCCAACACGAGCCCACAAAGTTGTCCTGGGGAGTACAGATGCACAATGTTTACCCTGCACGGCAACACAACGTGAGTGCTTAATAGTGGTTGAATGGTCGGGCTGTGGAAAGTGCTTCTGGCCAGCTTTTGCAAATCCCACGTGCTGCCTGGCGGTTGCAGGATGTACATGTTCACATCATGACAGCCACACAGCAGTTTGCTGCTGCAATTTTCCTGCAAGCCGTAAAACCCAACGACTTCCACGAAGCCTTAATTCTGACAAAGTTCCACCAAGGTGGGAGGCCAGGCGGGAGTGTCGGCAACTCGGGCAGTCACATGCCTCAGAAAATGCGAAGGTTTGGTTCGGCGACCGGACATGCAAATATGCTGCGCCCATGTCAGAGCCATGGTCAGCCGAAATCACAAATAAAAAAGACGAGTTCGCAACATGCTCAAGCTTCTTTTTTCCCAGTGGCAACAAATGCTGATATCAAGACACGTCAGTGGCTGTGCAGGGCAAGTAGGCAGGCGAGTGGCTGCCACGCAGAAGGGTTGCGAGCGCACCGTAGGATCCCCGACCCGTGCCACATCTGCCTAGGACTTCCAGCAACAGCTTACGCATCAGGTCGTACGTGTACGTGGCTCAATGACTCAAGACAGCTTTCTTGCGCGCAGAAGGCCAAGCCAAGAGACACGCTGATCTCCACGCCGCCCATGCCATGGTTCAGATCCATGCAGGTCAGCTCCAGGAAGCACTTCTTCCAGAACCTCCGCAGCCGGGCGGTCTAACCCACAGTACGGCGCATGGTTTCCTTAGAAGATCCGAAAATGACTAGGTCGGTGCCTCCCGAGTGCGGGCAAAGGAGAGCATCGAAACTGCTCAGATCCAGCGCAAATTCGGGCCAAGGTCGTGATCGCGGTGACTCCCCGGCCGACGCTTTGTCAGACAGCGCAGTCGTCCTCGTGCACTGCACCGTAGCCAAGAGGCAGGCCATGCAGGCCATGCAGGCTGTGCAGGCTGTGCAGGCTGCAGGGCGATCCAACCGATTTGTGCTTCGACCGGCCAGCCATGACAGGAAGCCGGGCAAACTTGCGAGGCCACAAAGGTCGGCAAGCGGATCCCAAAAGCGCCTCCAGGAGGGCGGTCCGGATCAGAACATCAGCTGGCCAGGGCCACAGGGGCCACAGTCCGCGGGGAGGCCGAGATGCGCCCAAAACAGCGGCCCGTGGAGGCCGTGGAGGCAGAGAGGCGGCGGTGGCGGTGGCGGCCATGGAGCATCTGGAGGTCGTCTTGGAAGTCACGCCTGGAGGAGGCCCGCGTCCAGAACGGCGTCCATCCTCACAGCTACGGCTACCGACAGAACCTCTCCATACCACAGTCTTCCACACAATGTTAAAGCCTGTCGAGGCCAGTCCTCCCCACGGTGGCTGCTTTATTTGGGAGGAAAGCTCGCTGCGCCAGTGGAACGACCTTTCTCATCTTCACTGGGCTCTCGAGGACCACTGCCCTGCACTGGAACGCCTGAGTCGGCACTCCGAAGTTGACTGCGGCATAAAACGTGAGCAGGAACCGACGTCATCCAGGACAAGCTGCTCAGGAATGGCAAACTCTAAATGCTTCGTGCTGTATTGTCATACTTGCTAGAGATTGTTTGGGGCGAGTTGTCGTGACTTGGTAAGGGCGCACCGTGGTCGGAACTGACTGTCAAAGAGAAACGACTTCCCGATGCCTGCCATCACCACGATCTGCTGCGCGGACCACGGCAGTATTCTGCGTCGTCAACCTTGGCACACCGGCTACATGCCACAATCGAGATTCGAAGCCATTTAGCAAGATCAGCCTTCAGTTGCGGCTCAGAAGCTGGGTATCGGCCCATAGCGACTGTGAAGGGTCGGGGTGCCGCAGTGCGGTAGCAGAGTTCAGCACTGGCATGGCCCAGCGGGGCCAAACTGCCAAACCCAGGAGACTCTGCAGGACCTTCCTGGCTGTCTCCAGGCACGACCAAATCCTAAGCCAATACTTCGACCTCGGGATTCCATGTGAAGACACCCAGACTGGTCGGAGCCCGAGCTGACTGCGCAAGCATGTCTGGCAGGCGCAGCACGCAGCTCCTCCAGACCAGATGAAACTTCTCTAGACTGTTCGTGCACGGATTTAGCAACCGAACCCGGGTTGCAAAAACTACGGCGGCCAGCCACCAAACGCAACAAGTGACAAGTAAGCAATCAAACCTGGGCAAAGAAAAACTTTCGCTCCGAAGAGCGCTTAAGCTCGGAGTCAAGCACCACAGTAAAGAGTCAAAAACCTGTTATGATTGCGGGGGGAGGGGGGTGGGGTGGCAATCGCCGTGACCGTGCAGTAGCAGCCTGGACTGTTGTGTGGCTTCGCGGATCGCGCGCTCAGAAGAGCAGGACGTGCCTTGTTCAGGTTGGCGTCCCTTTCATCGTTGTTCTAATTGAGCGAAGCACAGCTGCTGGCATTTGGTTTCGGAAAGCGATACGTGCACCGTGCTTTGGGGGAAGCGTTCTATCAGAGCATCTGCAATGCGCTTCGTGTGCAGCGGCCTTACGCTGCGTGGGCAATGCGTGCGAGCACCCTACCTCCGGTGTTGCAGCTTTGTCTTGCCATTTTGGCATACACAACGACGAACCTGCTTGAATTGCAATTTCGTCATCATCCGGCCTGAAGACAACACTGGCCGGTTGCGACGTCCTCTTCCACCGTCAAGCCTGCGAATTGTCTGGGCGGACTTGGGCAGAGGATGGCTTCACTGAGGGGCTAATGACACATTCTTGCCCCTGTCCGGCATACGATCCTGAACAGAACGACCTCTGGCAACAGTTATAGGGCTTCAACTGCCAGCTCGGCAGGAAGTTCGATTTCGCAACTATGCTTGATAACGCGGGCTTGGCTTCACGTTGCAGTTGCCAGGAGCACCAATTCTCAACGTGCCGCAATGCTGAGCAAGCCCAGCCAGAAAACTGCATTCTCTCAGTCAGAGTACACTGGCGCTTCTTCGAAGTGCCAACTCGCTCACTCTACAATCCGTGTGAGGATGTTGAGGAAAATTCCTATAAATTTCAACCTGAAAAGCATCGAACAGTCAGAAGATCGGCCTTCGGCCCTGCGGCCGCAGAGAGCCAAGTGGAGCCGGCCGCTCTCACAGCAGACCTTCCAGCTTGAAACTCCTCCTCCTCCTGCTACTGCCACCACTACTACCGCCAGGAACAGTCGAAACAACTGTACTGCCACCCCCACACCGTCTCAGCCACAAAAAGGTGCAGCTCTGGCGCAACTCAATGGAAAAGAGGGCCTTGGCCTTGGCCCTCGGAGGCAGCAGCCGTCCTTGGTTTCGTCTCGGGACTCCGCGGAGCGGAGGGACTTCCCACCTAACTTATTGACGCTTCACCGGATATGCGCTGCAAACAAAGGGTTTCACACTCCACTAGCAATGTTACTCGTGAGTGGCGTCGGCGACATGCTCAACCGCTGCGGTCAATACTCGCACGACTGATCCTGTACAATCCTGACCGGGTCAATGTCTCGCCCCTGAGGGCCAACTCGAGTTCCATGTTTGCTTCGTGTAACAACTGACCTTAGTTGTCTCTCCTCTCCCTGATCGATAAGATCCGAATGCTTCCTACCTGACTTATTACAGTCTATGTAGGTACTCGTGTTCAAACTGTCAATAACCTGTCAACACACCCTTACCCGATGATTCAGAGTGCTTGCCCCAGCTGCGAAGTCGCCCCTGTTCACATCGGCTTACTTCAAACTTGCTAAGGAGGAGGTCTATGATAGATCCTCCGCCGTCTCCAGCAAAGTCCACCGGGTATCGGCTCTCCACTACCAGTTTGAATTTGGTCGGCTTTCATTCTGCAACTGCGAAGCTAAACTGTAGACTCAAGGGCCATTTTGCAGCGGATAACAACTATACATTATATATATATAATATAATATAATATAATATAATATAATATAATATAGTATATTATAATATAATATAATATAATATAATATAATATAATATAATATAATATAATATATAATATAATAAAATATAATATAATATATAATATATAACAAATAATATATAAGATATAGTATATAATATATAATATATAATGTATAATATATAATATATAATATATAATGTATAATATATAATATATATTATATAATATATAATATAATATATAATATATAATATAATATAAAATAATATATAATATAATATGATATAACATAATATGGTTTGTATGCAAAAGCACACACACACACACACTCTCTCTCTCTCTCTCTCTCCGTGGCATAGGGGCAGGTCAATGCCCCCGGCGCCAGGCCCACCCAATGTTTTATTGGGTGCAGGGGTGTGAATAACGAACGTAGATTGCCAAACGGCTACAGCCATATGGTATATGATAGAGGAACTTGGCAATCGTACATTCTCCACGAAAACGTGCACGGGGACACACACTCTCTCTCTCTCTCGCTCTCTCTCTCTCTCTCTCTCTCTGTGTCTTCTCATCTTGTGCCACGAGCAACGCGCCAATCATTGAGACCTAACCCCAGACTCACGAGTCTAGACCAGCAAACCGTGAAGCCCTACACCCCGAAGCCCAAAACCACCCAAACACGCGAAACTTTCAGAAATGCTGCACTGTCGCAATGGATTCTAGCAAAGTATCGGAAGAAGTACTACATTACTACACCCCACAGCCCGGGCCTTACGGTTTAGGCTTTAACTCGCCGTGTTCCCGTCGACGTGCCACCTGAAGTCGGGGGAGTTCATCGCTCAAAGGTGTGGATCACGACAATCACAGGATTCAACACCTGTCAAGATGTGCACCTTCCATGCTGACTCGGGTCAGGCATGATTTGAGGTTCAGCCAGTTTAAGTCTTTAGTGTTGAGGATGCAACGCATGTCGAACGATCGGCGGCTCTACATCCACGGTGGTGGCTCCATGGATGATACGTTGCAGCTTTCTGGAGATCCTAAGCCTCAAACCAAGTTCCCTGTCGGCCTCCTTCTTCCATCGCTGCATCGCCTTGTGCGCATAGACGACAGCCATGAACTGTTCCTGGCGCTGCGGGGTCTAACTCTTTCTGCGCGATGGTTCATGGGAGATTCACGATACCTGTGGGGGCACGAATTAAGGAACGTGGTTGCACCATCAAAGCATTAATGAATATTCGGATACCCTGAGTCATAGATTGTTTGCACATCTGCTGTGCTGGTTCATATGCCTCCCCACCTGCCAGTCCTGCATGCTTCCCAAACACCCGGGCATCGGGATAGCCACGTAGTTGTTTTGATGCCTATTTAGTTTTTTTTTTAAGCCTATTTAGTTTTTTTTGATGCCTATTTAGTTTTTTTAGGGCCTATCCCTTCCCAAACACCCAGGGCCACAAAGAGGAGAAATCTCACAAACCCCGAGCCCACAACGCAGAAAGCGTCGCCTGCAGGTCACCGCTTGCGGAGCCCCAACCGCCACGGGGAGTCCTGGCTGTGGTTTAGGGTTTAGGGT